CTGTGACTAAGAATCAGGAGCAATCCCTGTGACACCTGCATCAGTCATGATATTGCCACACCGAAGGGTGGCTCATCACACTCTGCCAAGGGCTGTTTCAGTGCCCTGGGGGGGAGATGAGTATCAGGGAACAGGAGGGAGAGAGATTGGTGAGAGGCTCAGCAGAGGCAAGGTTGTGCAAAGCAGAGTGGAGTTCACATGGCTCTTAACAAAGAGGCATTGAGTGAGGTTGTGACAGAGCTTACCCAGAGCCTGGAGATCATTTCCAGAGCTTTCTGTACGGGGGAGCAAGAACCTGATTTGCAAGTGTGGGAGCCTTGCTGGAACAGCACCTCCTGGGCTTTTAGGATTCAGCTCCAAGAGCTACCACCTGCCACTTCTGCTGCGTCCCAATGCCCCCGACACCCAGGGAGTGCAGACCTTCCTTCCAGCCCGTGTGCCTCAGGGCACCCCGAGCTGAGCACGGAGCCCCCGAGGCCCTGGTGAATATCTGGAGTTGGGATCGTGGGGAAAGGCATCAACACAAACCACTTCAGAGGCCAAGGTGGAGGAGTAGGATCTCCGAGGCCTGCACTAATGAGGTCTTGGCACCAACATGTCTTTGGCACACGGCTGGGCCCTTTTTGGTCCGTGACAAAAAATAACACCACAAAACTAATGAATAAAATTCAAATGGGCAGGCTGCAACCCATCCAGCTAATCCTTGCTCGGGTGCTGGCTGCCCCTGGGAGGTGTCAGCATGGATTGGTGGGCACTGGGAGATCTGGGGTGTGAAAATGGCAGGATTCATCCCAAGCTTTCTCCCTGCCCTTCCAACCACACGGATCGTTCAGCAAAGGAGAAACGCGGCCAATCCCAGCACTTCACACACACACACATCCAGCTGAATATGGTCAAACCTCTCCAGAGGCTGATTAGTGATTTTATTTTCTCCTCCTCTGCCGGCCGTGCGTGCTCATTGCCATCAATTATCTATGCATTTGCCCTGATGAATTATTGAGTGTGTAACGGGGCGAGGGAAGGCCCGCCAGCCCAGCTCAGTCACCTTGCAAACAAGCACTCTCCAGAGCATGGCAGCAGCCAAGTTTGCCCTCTGGCTTCTGATTTAGGATGGGAAGCTGATCCAGCAGCTTCCCAAACCCCTCTCCCTCATCTGTCCCCCTTCCTCATCGCTGCATTGAGGTGTAGGTGCTCCTGGAGCAGAATGGGTGCATTGTTTTCCTGATTTAAGGCTTGGATGAGTGGAACAGAGAGAGTTTTTCCTGTCTTGCAAAAGAGTTGTTCAGTCACCTGGAAAGGAAACGCGATTTCCGTGCTGTGTTTGGGGTTTTTCAGGGTGTTTTTTTGTTTGTTTTGTTTTGTTATTTCTTCTGCCGGGTGTTATTTTTTTGTTTTCCCTTTTCCCCTGGAGCCTCGAGAAAGTTTGGAATGTGTTTTTGTCAAGGCTGCTGCGTGTAAGAGCCTGAATCCCAGCTTTGGCAGCATTTGGCTGTTGGCAGGCTGTCCTCACTCGACTGGCACCAGCTTTTTCCCTGGCCAGAACTCTGGCTCTTCACACCTGGGTACAGGAGGGTTCTGCAGGACCATTGCGGTCTCAGGATCAGGTTTATCATCTCCAAAATCCACTTTTTCTCCAGTTTATGTCCAAGCCCAGCTTGTTTTGATGCATGGGTCCCATGGCAGGGGGAGGGTAGAACTCGGAATTGTTGCTGCTGCTCAAGGTCAAGATAAATAACTTGATTTTTAAAAGGGTCAGTTCATTAATTTGCAGGGAAATCACAGCATAAAGGAAGGGCACAGTAATGATGGATGGAGTGAGGGACTGGGCTGACCTCCCCTGTGCTATCCATCACATTCCCTGCTGGAATGGCTGCAGCTTGATTGACTTTATCTTCATTTGAGAGGCACATCTCGGTTGCCCATCAGTGACGGCCTTCAGCCTAGCAGTGCTCACGCCACGAGGGACTGCCAGCCCTGCAGGGGTGACTCTGAGGAGAATCTGGTGGCTTCCACCCTCTCCTGTCTGCAGTTTGGCTCCTCTGCTGCTCCCGGGCACCAGAGGAGACGCTGAGCCGTGACTTCCTGCGCTGGCGGACGGGGCCCGCTTTGTTGGCGTGTGGAAATGCCGGTTCAAAGGGCCCCGCTGGGCCCCGTGGGGGGTCAGGCAGCTTGTGGGGAGCAGAGCCAGCTCTTGTGGGGAGCAGAGCCAGCTGTGCCAGCGCCCCAGCCCCAGGCAGGCCCCGCTGGGGGCACGAGCCCTTGGTGAAAGAGGCGCTGATGACTCCGCGCTCCCCCGGCCCTGGGAGCTGAGGGAGTGCTGAGCACACCCACCCAGGCTGGGCCGTTCCCAAGGCCCTGGCTACGTGATTGAAGTGCTCCACAGCAAGCTCCCACACGCTCTGGGAGGCTCTGGAGCCTTCCGAGCCAGACTGCTTGGCAAAGCTGTTCCTCACCTCGGCGGGTGTGGGCAACGCTGCAAGAGGCTCGCTCACCTCCGGGGTGGAAGGAGCAGCATATGCTGCACAGCGTGGTGGAGACATCTCCCCCCTCCCCTGTGCACCCATTCTTCCCTCAGATCCCAGCGTGGCCTCATCTAAACCCAGCCTGAGCCCTCGTTTCATCAGGGAGGATGTTGTGGGAGCTGGTGGCAGAAAAGTCCTGCCCTGTGTCCTGCTGCTGGGACATCCTTCTCCAGAGGGGAAATATGGTCCAGATGTGACTTTCTCAGAGTGGGGACATCCCTACCCTCTGCTTTGTGGAGGGAAAACTGTGGGGAAGATGGCCCTGGCTGTGCTGGGAGGGGAAGGGTGCACCCTGCCAGCCCCAGAGGACACATGGCTTTGTGCATGCAGGCACTTGAGGGCACCAGCGCTTTGCTGTGGCTGTAAGAAGCTCTGGAAAACATTCCTGAGCACCCAGCTGCAGTGCTGGGGTGTGGGGCTTGGCTCTGGGAGCAGGGGGCAAGTTCACACAAAGCTCTGGAGGCCGAGTTTCGGTCGGAACTGCTGATGGCTGTGGTCAGCTGGTGGCGTCTCGTGGCCAGGCTGGGTTGTTGGGGCTTGTCCTCAGGGTCACAGGAAGGAGAAGGGAGAAAGAAGAGGCGTGGGTGAGATGTGGGGATTAGGATAAGGCTGGGAACAGCAGGCAGGGAGCGAGGGGGCAACGTGGAGTGTGGGTGGAGAAGAGTTTTGTCTGCCTGCACTCGTGTGTGTGTCTGTGAAACTGCAGGAAGGAGACTCTTGGAGAAGTCCCAGGGCACATCTGCCACGGGGACCAACACTGAGGAGTTTATTTTAGCCTTGGACAGGGAGCCATTCATCCCTGGAAGAACAGAGTAGGGTGACATTTCTGTTAGGAGGTGCTGTCTTGTTTCTCTTGCTCTGCATTTTTCTTTCCCCAGCCCCTCTCTCTGTTCCATTACTCTTTCATGTTCATCACTCTCTGTGCAGAACATGAAAGAGTTCTCTATCTTTCTTTTTTTTTATTATCCCTTTCTTTCCTTTCCTGCCCAGCTCCCAGAATCCATCCAATTGCAGATTCTCCCAGAAGCTGGGAGCAAAACCCGCTTTTCTCGTTCTTCCCACCTTGCCTCTCTGTTGTATTTATCATACAAATACTGGCTGTATAATTACCAGAGCATTATCTCTAAACACACAGATTAGGAAAAGACACAGTGGCAGCAAAGATGAATTTCAGGGTCAGTCTGGTGGGAGATACTTTTCTCCATCTGTCAGGGGAGGAATCAGCTGAGACAGAAGAGCTGTCATGGACTGCAGCTCCCACTTTTCACAAGCACCTTCCACAGAATCAGGGTGGAAGGTTCCTAAATTCAGCCATCTCTGGGGTTATAAAAAGGCCACAGAAACAATCTGGATGATCATGCAAGGTGTAGAGGCAGTGCCTTAACGTTGTTCTCGATGGGAATTACTGCTGCCCTGAAATGAGGGCTGAGTCTTTGCAGCTCCTTTAATTACTGCTGCAGCTCCAATGGGATTAAATGGATGTCTGAGTGTGTGTTAGCATATGTTGGGATGTGCTGTGCTGATAAACATCAGGGCTTTCACATGCCTGCAGACACACATGCCCTGCATATTTACCACAACTGACTCAGTGTCACCCCGAGCTGAAGACAAAAGAGAGGAAGGTGTTATTGATCCAGCCTTGTGCCTTTGGGTGATGATGATGATGAGCCCTAGGCTGGGCTGGTCATAGTGGGAGGAAGGTGTTATTGATCCAGCCTTGTGCCTTTGGGTGATGATGATGAGCTGGGCTGCTCATAGTGGGAGGAAGGTGTTTATGGCCAAGAATGAAGCTGAGGGTGGATGCAGAAGGTGCCTGTAGCCACAGATTGCTCTTGTATCAGCTATGCCAATAAGAAACACACACCCTGTGAGGAATGACTGAGGGAGCTGGGGATGTTTAACCTGGAGAAAAAGGAGACCTCAGGGGTGCCCTCACTCTTTACAACTGTCTGAAAGGTGCCTGTGCTCAGCTGGGGTTGGGCTCTTTCTCCAGGCAGCACTGACAGAACCAGAGCACACAGCCTCAAGCTGCACCAAGGGAAATACAGGTTGAATATTAGGAAAAAGTTTTTCCCAGAAAGAGTGATAAAGTTCTGGAATGGCTGCCCGGGGAGGTGGTGCAGTCACCATCCCTGGGGGTGTTTAACAAAGCCTGGATGTGGCACTGGGTGCCAGGGTTGAGTTGAGGTGTTGGGGCTGGGCTGGACTCGATGATCTTGAAGGTCTCTTTCAACCTGGTGATTCTGTGAATTCCTGATTGTCATGCCCAATAACCACAGTGCTTCTGGGAAGAGCCAAAACGCTCACAAGTTGCCATTTCGTTGCAGGGCTGCAAGCTCAGAGTGTCTTGGTCAATGACACCGTCTCGGGGTTCATCGGCACGGACGTGGTGCTGCACTGCAGCTTCACCAACCCGCTGCCCATCATTCTGTGAATTCTATTAAACAAGTGGAGTAAATAGAGGAATTCCTGATCGTGATGCCCAATAACCACAGTGCTTCTGGAAGAGCCCAAACGCTCACGAGTTGCCATTTCGTTGCAGGGCTGCAAGCTCAGAGTGTCTTGGTCAATGACACCGTCTCGGGGTTCATCGGCACGGACGTGGTGCTGCACTGCAGCTTCACCAACCCGCTGCCCATCGTGAAGATCACGCAGGTGACGTGGCAGAAGGCCACCAACGGCACCAAGCAGAATGTGGCCGGGGGATAGGCTCTGGGGAAAGGGGGTTTGTGTGGGGCTGTGGTTTTGGTTTTGAGAGTGAAAGGTGAGAGGATCCTTCGGAATAATCGTGGGTTTTCTCTTTTTCTTACCTTCTTTCTCTGCCTCTGCCATGTCCCTTTTGCTCCCTTTCTTTCTCTCTTTTGCACTCCCTCACATTCCTTGTCCCATCATCTTTCCCTCCTCATGTTCTCTCTCCTTCTCCCACTCCTTCCCCCTCATCTCTTCCTATTTCATTTTCTCCCCTTTCCTTTCCCACATTCCTTGTCCCATCACCTTTCCCTCCTTGAAATCTCTTTTCTTCTCTCACTCCTGCCCCCTCATCCCTCCCTATTTCATTTTCTCCCCTTTCCCACAATCCTTTCCTCTCCTTTTAATCTCTCCTTTTCCCACCTGTGCCCCTCATCTCTTCCCATCTCATTTCCTCCCTTTTCCTTTCCCACAACCCTTTCCTCTCTCCTTTTCCCCTCCTGCTCTCCTCCCTTTCCCCCACCCCTGCAGATGAGCCAGAGGTCACCATTGAGGGCTTTGATGGCAACTGGTTCCTGAACCGCAAGGATGTGAAGCTGATCTGCAAATCTGATGCCAACCCCCCAGCTCACACCTACGAGTGGAAGCTGTAAGTGTCCCCAGAGCCCCGCTGCCAGCAGCAAATGTCACCTCCCAACAGGGACAAGGAGTCTCTGCAGACACCTCTCTCACCCTCTGGTCACTTAGGGCCCAGTCCCATTAGTGTCAGCGGTGTCACCCCAAGGTACAGCCTGTGCCTGTGCTGAAGGTGGCTGCCAGCTCAGTACAGCCTCAATATCCAGGGAGAACTTCCCTTTCTCACCTCACTGGGATCATATTCTGCCCTGGTGACGTGAGGCAGCTGAGAAGTGACAAGGTGATTAATGTGCCCAGCACCACCAAGAGCCTCTACAGCAGAGCTGGGAAAGAACCCAGGATTTCCCTGCTTTGAAAAGGCACAAATAACATAAAATTTGTCTGTGTGTGAACAACCTTTCCCTGGATCAGCCCCTCACGTGACTGACATTAAACAGCAACAATTCCTTGTCCTCAGGTTTCCAGCTTTTGGCTGAACACACGAAAGGGACTTGAAAAGTGAGTGAGGGGTGCCTGGGCAGTCAGGTGGGAATTGCTACAACCTGATGTGGTTCTCTCTGCTGCTCTTTCGTCTCTGTAAGCACTCATGTAGCTTTAAAAGAAGAAGAAGATCAAATGGATCCTTTCTTCTTTTCAGCTGGCATTTGTCATCAGGAGAGAGGCTCTCAACATGGCTTTGCAAGGAGCACATTCTCATTCCACTTCCCAGATCACAGTGTTCAAAGTGAAAGTCTGAAGAGGATTGTTTTTCTTGCCTTTTTTCCTAGTTCTCCATCTCCAGCTCTCTCCATCTGTTGGTGCTGCCAGTCTGACTTAAACTCCAAGAGGCTCTCTGGGTTCCTCACAACATTTCCAGGAAAGCCTCAGAGGCAAAAACGCACCCAAGGCAGAAGAGATGCCACTTGAGGCTATTTCTGAGCCTGGGGTGTAAAACCCAGCAGTGCTTTTCCTCTCCTCCCATTTGGATGGTGATGAGCAGCAGTCAGGGGAGCTGTCAGAGGAGGCAGCAGCCTCCTGGAGCATCCCACACCACCCTTCTGAGCACCCTGTGCTCTTGTTTTTGTAGGTTCAGGGCTCTATAGGACCATGGTTAAGGTGTTTTTCCATCAGCTTGGGGATCATTGGCTTGATGAAGCTGGAAAAACTGTGTTTTCTGTACATATGTGTACATGTAGACATGCAGAATACATGCACTTAGGCACATCTTTACAATCTCAGTTATACCCCCGTTATTCCCTTTTGTTTCTTATAAATTGCTGACAATATGTGCACATTTGGGTTGGGAGGAGGGGAAGGAATTACTTGAGTAATTTTTAATTGCCTAAGAGGAGTAATTACTTTACTTTGCTTCAGTAATTAAGAATAACCAGGCCATGTGTGTCTTTTCCTAACACAGAGGGTTGGTTTTTTTTTAATTTTTTCATCTGCCTGTGTCAATTTATTTTCTGTATCTCTGGGTTTAGTTTTGCATTATTCCAGTTTCACACTTACCTGACTGTTGTGACATGGGCAGGGCTCTAAATCAACACTGAGTTCGAGTTTAAATTAACACTGGCTGATCAGGAGAGTTAAATGGGCAGGAAATTGGGCTAAAACAGGGTCAGCTTGTATCCCTTTCCTGCCTACATCAATGGGGATTTTCCAGCCAGCACCTCCAGCTTCCACACCTGCCCAAGGGCAAGCACAGACCCAGAACGCTGCTGTCACCTCTGGGTGTCACCTCTGGGGTCAAACATGGTTTCTGTCCCCCACAGGCCAAACGGGACCCTGCCAGGGAGCGTGGAAATCCAGAACAACACCATCTACTTCAAGGGGCCCGTGTCCTACAGCGTGGCTGGCACCTACGTCTGCGAGGCCACCAACGCCATCGGGACACGCTCGGGCTTGGTGGAAGTCAATGTCACAGGTAGGACAGCACCTGGGCTGCTCTGCAACGTGGAAAAAAAGGTGGGGAGGGAGACAAAGGTGTGAGCAGTTCCATCTCCTCAATCACCACTGTCTCCTTTTGGGGGTGGGAATGTCCTGAGGGAAATGGGGCAGTGGAGTTCTTGGCTCGGTACTGGTGTTGCGCTGGTTTGCTTTGGATTTTCTCCTTTCCTCTCGTGGTCTTTTTTCTTTCTTACACCAATTCGAGTTGTTCCCTCCTTGTCTTCTGCTTTGGATTCAGAGAGATTGTTGTACATGTTAACAGCAGAGGCATGTCAGGGAGATATTGATCAGAACAAGGGGCAGGATGAGGATGTGGACTGCCAGAAAGGCAGGAGATGGATGAGTCACTTGGTCAGGATGGTGTTTGGTGTTCCTGGTGTTGGGCAATCCTCATGATTCTTCATTTGAGCTCCTTGCCGTGCTGCTCTGTGAACTCACTCACCTGCCTGCCACGGATCCCTGTGGGTGCTGGAGGAGCTTTGTCTGGGCTCCAGGGAGGAACACCATCCCAGGATGCAGGCAGTGGGAAGTGATGCTGTGATGTCACAGGAGACAGAAGGAATCTGACGGCCTGCAAAGCACTGTGGCCACAGGAGGGAGGGAAAGACACGTGGGCAAGCTTAGGTAGTGTCAGGGAGAGAAAGTCATGTCAAGAAATAGCTTCAAGAGAAGAACTAACATATGGCAATAACCTGATTTCTGAAAGTCAGACTGACATTGTGAGACATCACCAAGGGGGAAAAGTGGCTGTGGGTGCTTTGAGAGGAGGAAAGGCACAATTATCCCGTTCATTTGGGGCAAAAGGAGCCATTTGGGTTATCAGGCAGTGACCGGTGGCTCTCTGGAGGGCTGGAAGTGCCTCTTGGAGCAGTGAGGTGGGGCACAGCCACACTGCAGCGAGCTCTGGGCTGCAAACAGCCCGGACAGGATGGGCAGTGAGGTGAACGAGGTGCACTGGGGGCTTCCAAGGCACGGGGAACACAGCACAGGCTCCCAGGGCTGTTACCTCTTCCTCTGTCCAGCCCAAGGCAGTCAGAGCCTCTCCTGCCACCCCAGTCCTTGGGGAGTTGTCTGACCTGAGGGTGATGAAACCCCAGCCCCCTCCACCAGCTTTCTCTGCTGGTAAATGCTGAGCAAGCACAGAGCCCAGTCTGGGGCAGCTAAAATTAGCAATAACTCCGTGTTTGGCACCTCAGCACCTCAGCTCCCCTCTCTGTAACTTGGGCAAACCAGGCTAATCTTCCTCTAGCCAAGTGCTTGGAGGTCAATGGGTGGGATGTGCTAATTAGATGCTAATTACCCGGTATTTATTTATGATCGTTATCACTGTAGCGGGCCTTTCATTCACACCTCCTGCCCTGGATCCCTGCCTGCTGAGTTGTTCCTGGTACAGCCATTTCTCTGGGGGCTGTTTCTTGTGCCAGCAAAAGGCACTGGAAGAACAAAGCCCTTTGTGCCCAGCCCTGCCCAACCACCCAAAACCAGGGCAAGGTCACGGCCAAAATCAGCTGCTGGCCATTCCAGGGGAGTTGTCACCTCAGTGTTCCTGGGGTACAAACTGAGCTGACTCCCTTTGGCAACAGAAATCCATCCCACACAGCGTTCAGAATGCTGGGGCACGATCAAAACAGTGAGCAGAGCTTAAAAACCCCCAGGCTCAGCCCTCAGACACAGAATGAGGTGGAGTAGGGACTGAAGAAGACTTTGAGAGTAACAGGCTCTCACTTCCCATCCCTCCATAGCCTCTGTGTCCATTTCTTGCTGTCATTCTGCCTGTCCTGCCTGCCCATGTCCTTTGGGGTCTCAGGGCACCAGGCACAGCCCTCTCTCTGTGGTTCCTGCCCGTTTGGATGTGTCTCAGCACCACAGTGGCACTGAAGGTGGCTGCACCAGCTCACCTGCACAGGTTCCTCCAGAGATGAGGGGCTGTGGGTTCCCCCTCTGGGGTTTGGAATTGTCTCTTTTCCTGGTGTTTTTTCAGAGGACTGGAAAAGAGCATCGTTCTCAGGCTCCACCAGCACAGGGCTGGCAGAGGAAGCGGGGGCTGGCAGGATTTTTGGGGTTGGGTTGGTGTCTGCCTGCCTGTAATCTCAGCTGGTTCCCAAAGGTCGGGGCTGTGGGGTTGAGGTTAAACGAGAGGGAATGAAGGGCACACCCACAGCTGCCCTTCAAGGAGGGATTAACAGCCAACCCCACAGGCCAGGCCTGCACCACATTTAAAAAAAAAAAAAATCCTTTAATAATTCATGGGATCTGAATATGTTTATCCAGCTCTCCCTAAGGAGCGATTAGCCGGTGCTGGGGAGGGCTCAGCCCTCCTCGCTCAGCTATTACAGGTACATTTGTTTGGGTCTTGCAGGCAATTTAGGGATTGTCAGTGGACCACGAAACCTCTTTCAAGAGCTGCATGCAATAAATGGAGTTCAATCTAGTGAGCAGCCAGCCTTGGGAGGAAAAAAAAAAACAACACAGAAGGCTGATGCAGAGAAAACCCTGCAGCAGCTTTCCCCCTTTCTGTCTCCCTGTTCTCCCCCCTTTTGCCACCCAAAATCTTCCCTCCAGGCCCCAGAGAGGAAAAGTGCAGGGCTGGTCCAGCCCCCTGATGGGGAGGGCAATTTGTTCAGAGGGAGAAGGCTGAATGCTTCCATGAGAGTTATGGCGCATTAAAGAGATTGATAAGTGGAAATTTAATATTTTATTCCAGCAATCTGTTCCCCTAATAGCTTCTCCTGCCTTGCAGGACCTTTGTCAGTCGCAGGCAAGCCATGTAGTGTGACATGTAACTATTTATTACAGGCAGTGGGTGACAGAATAAAAGGCTGTGCTTATGGACTGCACGTGTGTGGTGGTCCTGCACAGAGAACTGGCCATGGATATTCACCTGTGTGATCCCAGTCTGCATCCTGGCTGTGGATATTCACCTGTGTGATCCCAGTCTGCATCCTGGCTGTGGATATTCACCTGTGTGATCCCAGTCTGCATCCTGGCTGTGGATATTCACCTGTGTGATCCCAGTCTGTATCCTGGCTGTGGATATTTACACCTGTGTGATCCCAGTCTTCATCCTGGCTGTGGATATTGACACCTGTGTGATCCCATTTTTGTCCTGCCCATGGACTTACACACCTGTGTGATCCCATTTTCATTCTGGCCATGGAAATGTTTTTCCCAATGCTGCATGCACAGGGCAGGAATAAAGCGTTTTCAGCTGGGAATGTCCATGGATTCATGAAGATGGGCTCTTCTGGGTGCAGCAGAGCATGGACACACCCTGGCCCTGTACAGCAGACATTCACCCACTTGTGCACTGGCTCCAGCCAGAGGAAGCACAAGGAGAAAAGGAAAAAAATGGCAAATGGACCTTTGAAGGAGACTCACAGAGCTGGGGCAGCAGGGAGAGCCTGTACCAGCAGCCTTGCAGCCCTGGCCTTGGATGTGCTACAGGCTGGGGGGAAGGAAAATCTGGCAGGGGTTGCTGACCCCCCCCGCCTGCTTGGCTTCCAGCAGGGAGTTATTTACACACCAGCAGCGCTCTCGTCCCAACAAGGTCACTGCAGACAGCCCGTGGGGCTCACTGGAGCTGCTGCCACGCTGCGCTGGGCTGGGAAAAGCCCTTTCTGGGAAGTCCTAAGTCCCAATTCCTGCAGCAGGTGCTCCCAAAGCCAGGCAGATTTAGGTGGGAGGATGGAGAGCCGGGGGGGCCAAAGAGGAGCAAGCCCCGAGGGGGCTCTGGCTGATGCTAATCTCCCAGAGTGGCTGTGCATCCTGTCTGGTGGCATCTGTGCCAGCACCCCCGCGGGAGCAGGGCTTGACTGACAGGGGATAGGTGACCTGAGAGAGAGATTAAAACCTAAGACACGTTTGGCATCTGGCCCGAAAGCCGTCACACTCTGAAAGGCCAGTGGCAGCTGCTGAACTGCTGGATTAGCTGCCAGAGGTTTTTCCATCCCCACCCGCCCTGCAGGAACCCCTGGGAGGGAGGGGAAAGCTTGGAAAGCTGGAGATGGACATGCAGAGGTGCAGGGGGGAGGGAGAAGGTCAGCAGTGCTCTGGGCTTCTCAAATTGCAGCTTTGTCCTGAGGTTTCTCCTTATCTTCCCTCGTGTACATAACTTAACACACGAGCAAAGTCCTGGGATAATTTGGCGTGGGCTGTTCCGAGCAGGGAAAGCTTGCCATCAGCAATCTGGCTCCTGAACAAACCCTACAGGGTCATTTCTGTGTTTGCTGAGGCCATCTGGGAACTGGGAAGCCCCGTGAATACGTTGGAATTCAGGTTCCTGTTCCTTCCTGGAGCTGCTGTTCACGTTGTGTGGATGTTTGGTTTCCCAAGGTAGAAGGAAATCCAGAGTCTTCCTCTGGAAGAGCTTGGGCTGACACATGTCCGACAGCTAATTCCTCATGGAGTCTGACATTTTCTTCCATGCCTGTGGCTACAGGGAGAATTTGGGCTGGTGCTGGCTTTTCCCTTGGTCCTTAGGATTGAGGGGAAAAGGACGGTAATGGGACTTAAAGGAAAAACATGTCCACAGGAAGCAGTCTTTTAAAATATCTCAGCAGATGAGCAGAAGAGCTTTTGAAAGCTGATTTCCAGTGGATCCGCATATCACAGAAGAATTACTGGGTATCTAAAAATACCCTTTTTCTGATCTGGGCCCTTCCTGCTCCTGGGAGCAGCCTCCTGTCCCTCTGGGTTCTCTGATGTCTAATGAGGTTTGGCTCCCACCTCTGCCAAGGATCCCACTCCAGCCGTCTCCAGGAGCTTTCTGATAGGGATAATTTCAGCTCCTTCTCTCACAGCACTAAAATTGGCCAGCAGGTTCAAAAAAAGCAGCAGATAAAGGATTGATGGACAGGTGGGATGATTTGCATGCGCCTCATTTTTATTGAAAAACAGCCATTAAGAGAAAGATGGGATTCTTTAAAACCTGTACTTTTGAAGCCGTTCTTGCGATGGGGAAGGTTTGGGGAAGTTTGTGGCCTCACTGTTGAGCCCTGGGCTGCTGCAGGAAGAGGGCAGGAGATGCCTGGAGCCTTGCAAAGGGATCAAAGAGAACCTGTGGGCTGGGCCAGGTGCCAGGCTGAGCCCGGGGTGACCTCCTGCCTCTCTCCCTGCTCTCCCAGCTGCTGTCCCAGAGGTCTGGCTGCTGGCACAGGGACAGGAAGCTGGGCTGAATGCAACAGCTGGCAGAGCCGGGCACGGGCAGATAGCATTGCTGCTTTAATTTCTATTCATACAGCACTCCCTCTTTTTATAAGGGCTGGGGGGTGGCAGGCGGGGGGAGGCTTTTCATGCTGGCATTAAAGCCTGGCTTGTTTCCCCTCCCTCGGCTCTGCTGTCTCCTGTTTCTCCAGGCTGCTTTTCACAGGGGCTTTAATTCTCTCCAGACTCTTCCTAATGGATTTTTCACGTGGGGCCCCCGAGCACGCTCAGGCATCGCACCGGGTTCCAGAAATTTCACGCCCCCCTTGGACACAAAAAAAGGGGATCCTTTTCCCACACTTCCCCCTCTCCCCTTGGTGCTGCTCTGTTTGAAACGGGGTGGGCAGAGGGGTGGATCCCAATTTGCGGGATTGGCGGTCGTTAATGGATCTGGATCAAGGGACAGGTGACACGCTGGTCCCCGCTCGCCACCTGCCTTGCCGAGGCACCTTGTCACAGGGCACAGCCCTTCCTTCCTTCCCGGGAACACACTCCCATCCCTTGAGGGTCAGTGCCCACCCTGCTCCAGAGCCAGAGTGGGTCTGTGCCGCCATCCAGTGGCAGTGCCGGGCTCTGGAGTGGCCGGACCCCTTCCTCCCCCGACACTGACCCCGCCCCAGGGTCACCCAGTAACCCCCAGAGACCCCCTTGTCCCGGCGCCGGAGGGAGGAAGCTCTGTGGGTGATTTGGGGCTGCTGGTGGTTGATCTTCCCCTTGTCTTCCTTCTTTTTTTCCTTCTTTCTCCCTTCCCACAGTCTGGGTTTGTTTTCTCTGGCATGGGAATGGAGGGTGGGGATGGGATGAGGGGAGAAAATAGTTCCTTGACTGAATGATGTGTGAAATCCACCAGGGATGGATGGATGGATGGATGGATGGATGGATGGATGGTGGATGGAGGGGTGGATGGATGGATGGATGGATGGATGGATGATGGATGGATGGATGATGGATGGATGATGGATGGATGGATGAATGGATGAATGGATGGAGGATGGATGGATGATGGATGGATGGATGATGGATGGATGGATGGATGGATGGTGGATGGATGGATGGATGGATGGATGGATGGATGGATGGATGTGTTCCTGCTTGTGTCCATGGCATTGGCAGTGCCACGGGGGTGGCACAGGGGTGGCAAGTGCTGCATCAGGGGTGAGCAGCACAAAGGGCAGGGAAAAAATAAATGTCTCCTGAGAAAGGTAGGAAAACATTCCCCGTTTTCTCTGCACGCATCCAACCTGGACTGTTAACAAGGCTTTTAGCAGGAAAGTGGGCCAAGCTCCTTTAGAAATCAGGCACCGCCTTCCCCTCTCAGATCTGTTCTCCAGAGCTGCGAGGCAGAGGGGTCTGTGTGGTTTGGGGGATCTGCACACCACATCTGGGGCTTTTCAGGGTGGTTTTTGGGACCTGTGGGGCCACGCACAGTCAGCCTTGCTGTAGGGAACAGCAGGGTGAGAGGAGGCTTCAGAGCTGTGGGAAAATGAAATATTGAGCCCCTGGGGACTTGCTGGGTTTCCCCTGCTCCCACTCAGCCTCCAGGTCTCCCCTGCTTTGTGCACAGCTTTGGGAACTGGGCACCACAGAGGCTGGGACAGCGAGGAGCAGCCTGGGGGGGTGGCTTGGGCAGGGGTAGAGAGAACAGTGTGGATGTTGTGTGGTTGAATCTGAGCCCTCAGCAGGCAGGACCACGAGGAGATGGACGTGACTGTCCCTGGTGTCCCTGCAGAGAGGTTCTGCATTAACCAGCTGGCTGGGACAGGCCTTCTGTTGATGCAACATGTGGCTTTGGCTTTGCACAGCCCAGCCCCGGCTCCTCGTGCTGCAAGACATGCCCTTGCTGCCTCTCTAAGGCTGTCTTGGGGAAAAAATGCTGGCTCCTGCCTGCACAGCATCTTGCTCCTCATTCTGGCTGCAGCAGGGACCCTCCATCTGTCCCCCAGCCCACTCTGCCCAGTGGGCTGCTCTCTGTGTGGGTTCAGCCTCAGGAGGCTCTGCTCCAGGCAAGTCAGCACTGCAGAATCCAGCACGCTGTTGTCGGGTTGATGTTTCAGGAAAGGCAGGAATTAATCATCTTCCAGGCACAAAAAAACCCTAAAACATTTATGGCTCAGGCCAGAAATTGCTTGAATTCAGTGCCCTTGTGCAAAACCTGCAGCTGTTGCAGTGCCTTCACTTGGGGGAAGCTCCTTTGTCCCCTCTCCCTCAGTGGCTGGGCTAAGCTGTGCCAGCAGGGACATGGAGGGGGGTAGGCAGCAGTCACTGCCTCTCATCCCTCTGGAATCTGCTGCCTCTGAGCCCCTCTTTGCCCATCACCCCACCCTGGCTGTGCTCAGGGATGCTGACTTTGCTGCTGGGTCTGCACCTCTCCTTGGCTGCTGGGGGAAAAGTGAAGGCTGGGAGGCTCCAGGGTTGGCAGAGAGGCCTTGGAGGTGGGAAAAGCACTGGGAGAGGTCTCATGTGCAAAAACAAGGCTGCCACAGGGCATTAAGAGGGCGCCTGCTGCCTGAATTGGGAGGCAGGTGAAGGGCTGAGACAAGCATGTGGTGTTAATGCCTGCTGCACACGGGTGTTCAACAGGCTCTGAGCTCGGCCAGGGGCTGTAACTCTGCCCAGGAAGGTTGATTGAAGTCCTGGCTCAAACTTTATCTGTGCCAAAGTGTAGGTGTTGAACTGCATGAAAGAGAAGAGAGCTGCCTTCTCATCTCTTTCCTCTGTTCCTCTGCCTCTTTTCAAGTTTTTTTTTTTTGTTTGTTTTTTTTTTTTTAAATAGGTCAGGGTAGGAGCAAGATTAGCAGGAGGAGTGGCACTGTGCTGGCCAGGGAAGGGGAAGAAGCAGTGGGAGGGCTGTGTCCTCATGCTGCAGGGTCAGCACAAGGGGTCAGGAGCCAGCAGGGCTCTGAGCATCTCTGTGCAGCCACAGGGCACCTGTGGGTGGGGGATCACAAGGTGCTGCTGCCTTGGTTCTGATCCGGGCTGGGATGTGAGGAGGGGCATGCAGAGCTGGTGGCACCTCTGAGCAGCTCGGTGCCCACCCTCGGGGGGGGTTTGGGGGTCTCGCTCCCTGTCAGGAGCACTCTCTGGGAAACTGGAACTGGAATTCTGTCAGCTGGTAAAACGGAGCGCGTCCGGACTCAAGACCCGGGGCTGGTGGGATCTGAGCACGCCTGGAGACACCAGGAGGGCTGGGGAGGGCAAACCACTGCTTCCAGCCTGCTGGGCTCCTGCATGAGGCTTGGCCAGCTTGGCACGGCACCTTCCCCTTGCTGAGGCAGAGCTGACCCTGTGAGGACACCCCTCTTCCCCTTTCCCCAGTTTTTCCCTTCCCTGTTCCTTACCCTCATCTTCCCACCCCCTCACCCCCCCACCCCAAACTGGCAATGAGAGCGTGGAGGGAGGGCGCGTTTCCGCATGGTTTGACACTGTTCCCCCTTCCATCTGTCTTTTCCTACCCAGAATTTCCCTACACCCCGTCTCCAATCGATGATCACAAATCCATGGTGCAGCCGAACATCCCCACACCGGTGATTGGGGGCATAGTGGGAGGCGTCTCGCTGGTCCTGCTGGTGGCCGTGGTGCTCTTTGTGGTACTCCGGCGCCGGCGTCACACCTTCAAGGGTGACTACAGCACAAAGAAGCACGTGTACGGCAACGGCTACAGCAAGGCTGGCATCCCACAGCACCACCCCCCCATGGCCCAGAACCTCCAGTACCCCGACGACTCGGACGACGAGAAGAAGCCGGGCCCCTTGGGCGGCAGCACCTACGAGGACGAGGATGAGGATGCAGGAGGCGAGCGCAAGCTGGGCGGCCCCAAAGCCTACGAGGAGGATGCCAAGAGGCCTTACTTCACCGTCGACGAGGGCGAGGCCCACCCCGAACCTTACGACGAGAGGACACTCGGCTTCCAGTACGACCCCGAGCAGCTCGACCTGGCCGAGAACATGGTGTCGCAGAACGACGGGTCTTTTATTTCCAAAAAGGAGTGGTACGTGTAGCTCCACGCCCCTCTGCTACACTCACACACTCGCACACTCAAACACACGCTCACAAACACGCTCACGAGCGATGCCCTCCCTCCCCTGCATCCCTCCGAGCACACCCACGCACGCCCCGGCCCCGCACAGACTTTTTGGATGCTGGGGGCCAGCGGGGAGGGAGGGCGGCTTTGCTTACGGATCATTTTTTTTGGGGAGGGGGGCGGGGCTCGTGCGGGAGGGCGGGAGGTCGGGTAATTATTTTCTCTCGGTTTTGGTTTGGCTTTTTAATTTCTCTCTTCGACGACTTTCGTCCCCTTCTGTGGTGTTTGTATTGGTCGGTGGCTTAGGTGTTACTCTTTGCTTTAACGACTGTTGCCCAGCCTGTATATTACACTCTGTTTGTGTCTTCATGTCTCAGAGTGCCCTTCCCTCCCCGAGGCTTCCTCCTCCCACTCCCACCCCCCTGAAACACTGGAAATTTGTTTGTATGTTGTCTTCTTTGTTTGTTTTTTAACCTTGGGAGGGGGGCAGGTGGGCTGTCCGTAGGACGGAGGCCAGGAGAGTTTTATGGCGATGGAAACATAGGTGCCATTATCAGGTGAATGGATTTTGGGTTTTCTTTCCCCTAATCACTTTTTTTTTTCGGTGGGGTCTGGGTGACATTCCCGTTGCCTGCTGCACGCCTGGAGAGAACCACACTCAGTTTTTAATGACTCAATAAAAGGAAAATGAGAGAAAGGGGGGAAAAACACCCTAGACCAAACCCCAGGTGTAGGGACTGATAGCAGAGCAGGGAAACAAAACTGCCATTTTCCTCCTACAATTTATTATCGCCTGACTTTTCATTTTTCTGTCTTTGTTTGAGTGTTCTTTTAAACGAAAGAAAAGGAGTATTTATTGCTGACACTTTTCCCCCCGTGATGGCTCAGAGAAAGGCTGGCTCTTTTTTTGTTCTTCTTGCTGTTGTTGTCTCTGGTACCAGCCACAGAGCAGTTCACTGGGGCACCACTGTGCCGGGCACATCCACTGGGGAAGGGACCAACTGAGGACACTTTGCTTCCACACATTCACTGCCTTCAGCTCTGCCCTGCACACCCAGGCAGGGCAGGACCAGCCCCTGAGGTTTATTTTATTATACCACTAAGACTTAATTGTCATGTGTTTACACTTTATTTTTTATTTTGGTCAGAGCATGGGGGTGCTCCTCTCTCTCTCTCTCTCTCTTTCTCTCTCTCTCTCCTAGCAACAACCCCAGTCCGTGGCTGCACCACGTAGGTGGCATTGATTGCCACTTTTCCAATATCACATCCCTCTCCTGAGCACAGGCTTGGCAGACAGGGTAGGAGGGATTGAGCCTGGGGTATTGATCTTTCCCTCCTTGCCTTGAGCCACGGCGTTGTGCTGGGGAGGTTTGGATTGCTGCTATCTCTGCTCTGTGAATAAATGGGATTCCAGACTTCAGGGCCCTCTGTCTCACACCGACCATCTCCAAATTAGATTCACTGGGTTGGGGCTTATTTTTCTTCTTCTGGGTTATATTTTATTATTTTTTTTTTAATTTGATGTATAAATAAATCTTTTGTTTGAAAAGAAATCCCCAGTTTTCTGAGCTGTATTATCATGCACATCTAAAAATAGCAGGACTAATTCTCCTCCTGCCTTACCCGCTGGGTTTTGTTCCACAGCGGTTATCCTGCTGCAAAAAGGGAGGAGGGTGGAGAGGCAGACCCACACAGATGAGTCAAGGTCAGATCTCTGATCCAGCAGCCTCCAAAGCTTTCCTTTCCTGTGAGGTGCCCGGTGCAGAGCACAGCCTGAGCCATCCCCAGCGTGCTCTGATTGCATTAGTGGGGTAGGGCAGTGGGCAATCCAATTGTAGGGCTGTAATCTCTCTGCTGTTCCTGCCAGCCCCTCAGGCTTCCTGGCTTCTGGCATGACAGCCACATGCCACAGGAAGGCTGCTGTGTCCTCTCAGAGCAGGGCAGGCAGAGATTCCCTCGGGATCCCTCTGGCTGAACCGTCCCAGCTCCGTCCTCTGCCACCAGGAGCACCCTGCTAGCAGGAAAGACCCCAATAAAGGGAATAAAACCTCTTAACATCTCTCCAAAGCTCTGATTAGTGATGATTAGGGGTGGGAATGACTTCCTTCCAGTGCCTTGGGAGAGCAGCACACACAGGGCTTTGATTGCCCCAGAGGGAGAGCCTGTAATCTGGCTCAGTGTGTGGTGCAGGGAGAATTCCCAACAAAGCCCAGCTCTGAAGTGAATAATCCTTTAGATCTGAGCCCCACAGCCAGGCTGGGAACAGGATGGTTCAGTGCCTCCAACAGCAAGCTCTGGGCAGGCACCAGCAAGGCACCTGTGAGATCCTGCCCTGCAGATTTCCCCAGCCCAGGCACACCCTGTGAGGGGCTGGCTTTGCAAGAAAACAATCTTTTATAAAATCTGCAGCGTCCAGCAGTGATTCTTCACGTTGAGGCCACTGCTCAGGTCTGGCCAATTGCCACCACGCTGACCCCAGAGCTCTGTGTCCTAAAGAACAAAGGTGCAAAGGCTGGCAGGTGGGGCACGAGGGCCTGGGAGAGGTCAGAGCAAAGGAACCCTAAGAAATCTGCTTTGGGAGTTACTAGCTTGCCTTTGAAGGTGTCATTTTTGGAGCTGTAGCCTTCCTTGGATTATTTCTTGCCCATTCACACACTGCCCACTGAAGTGAGGCAAAAACCCAGTGGGAGCCAGGGAAAGGAAAGGAGAGAGTGGAGCAGTGTGGGATTTCCAAGCTAGAGCCTCTGCACGATTCCCTCCCTGCTGCAGCACCTTTTCCTGCCCTTTTTGCACCAGCCCAAATTCAGGACTTAGCTCAGCCACTTACCTCCTCAGAGTGGTTCAGAAAAGGGGTCAAATGAGCATTTTTCATCCAGAACCTGGAGTGGAAGATCCTTAGGCAGCGTTGCCTGGCACAGCAGCGAGGCGCCCTGCGAGCCCAAGGCTCAGTGCTGCGTTTCTCTCATCCTTGAGCTCTTCAGCATTGCTCCCCTGGTGCAATTATCACCACAGCCATGGAGAAATGCCACCTCTGTGCTGTCATTTGCTTCTTGCTGTCCCCTGCAAGGTCAGCTAGATGGCCAAGAGACTCTTGGGGTGGTAATTATCCGAGTGATTAGCCATTAATCCATAGCAAGGTGGAAGAAAAAAGAAGTGTGGGGGAAGAAAATCAGATTGATGCTTCATCTGAGAGCTGTTTTGGTCCAGTAATAGCATCACTGCCTTCTCTGGGTTAAATTGCTCTGAGGGGACCCTTGAAGGGAATTAGATGAGTTTTTCCAGCATCATCAAGCAGAAAGTGATCCCTGTTCCCACCTGAGTGCAGGGGTGAGCTCAGGAGAGAGGCCAAAGTGGAGAACCACGTGCATCCTGCAGGGAGGGAATGAGCTGGGACCGTGCAGGGCTCAGCAGCAGGGCTGCTCTTTGCTCTGGCAGTGGTGTCACCTGTCCCTTTGTGCCCCAATTTCCCTCAGAGGACAGATTCTGTCAGCCTGGAGTGCCACACAGGCTGCCTCAATGAAAAATCCCTGCTTCTCTCAGCCCCCTTTCACCAGAGGTGCTGAGGAGGTGGAAATGCCCCTGTGGGACCTGGCAAGGATGGAGTGGGAGCTTCCAGCTGGGAGAGGGAAGCTGTCCACAGGCCTCCTCCTCTCCAGCTCGGTGCCAGGGAGCTGCTGCTCTGCAGGAAATGTCCCATTTCACACCAGTCCCGAAGTGGTGTGGCCCCCCCGGGCTGGGTTTCTGCCTGGGGAATGCCTTCACCCTGCTGGGAACACAGACATCAGCCTGGTGCTTCTCCCTTTTCCCAGCCTCTTCCTGGATCACAAAGCTTGTGGTACCTCAGGGTGGGTGGGGAAGCTGAGCAGGCAGCGAGAGAGGTCAGTGACCCAAAATTCAGGTGAATTTGGGCCAATCCCCCGTTTCCTTCCCTGGGAATTCAGGGAGCTGTGCAAGCAAACAGATCTGTGTCACAGCCCACAACGAGCCTGTGCTTTATGTACAAAGACACCCCAGCTGTTTCCCTGCTGGGGCTTTTCTCTAGGATTATTCATTGCAATTCACCCTAGTGATGTTATTTTCCCTTATTTAATTACCAGGTTTGTTGGGGTTTTTTTTTTGTTTTTTTTTGTTAAATTTTTTTATTTCAAGGGGGAAAAAAAAAAAAAAAAAAAAAAAAAAAAAAAAAACAACCTGAAGATTTCCTCATGAAATAAATCAACAAACTGAGATGGTTGTACCGAATTGACTGCAAAGACATGAGGGACAAAGGGAGCCATTTTCCTGATGTTGAGTCAAAAAGAAACACAACAACAGTTCAGCAAAAATCAGGGAGGGTTAGGGAGAGAGAGACTGCAAAGATTGATCTCGAGGCAGTTAGAGAGGGGAGTGTGATTGGAACGGGGCTGCTGCTCTGCTGGGCTCTTTCCCTTTGCCATGCACATGCACACGCTGACTTTTGGGGTTTGGGGAGCAGATTAGGTGGAGGGAAAAACCCCATTGCCCTGGTGGGGCTCAGCTGTGCCATTCCTGCAGGCTCTGAGCTTCCCGGTGTGGAAATGGGGGATCTCAGGTTCCCAGCAGGTTAAAATCCACTTTTAAGTTTCCCTCCAGCCCTGCTGTTGCAGCACTGAAATTTGGGGTGTGTGCAGCTGTGGGGACAGGGGACACTGCCTGTTCTGTCCTGATGAGGTGTCAAACAGCCCCTCACCCTCCCCACTCCGCACTCCTTCCATGCCTTCCCCCCCAAGGGAATCTGCTGCCAGTTTGGGCTTTTCCCAGGGGAATCCTTGGCACAGGGAGGCTCTGAAGGTCCTGGGTCCTTCCCATCAATCCCAAACTCACCCGGAGCGGGGGCCAAGGGCAGAGGGGCTGGGGGAGAGCAGGGGGGGCTCAGCCCATCAGCAAGGGAAGGAAAGCCAAGCCTAAAGCTGGGCTTGGATTTGGGACCAGGGGGTTTCCCTGTGCGACTCCCCCGGGTGAATGTAAGGAGCACACGGAGTCAGAGCCTCTGCTCTTGGTGGAGGGACTCTCCTTGAGGATCTGGATTTGCTTTTCTTTGGCCTTTCTCTTTTTTTAAAAAAACATGATTCCTCAGCTCCAGTGATTTTATCTCTCTTTTTCTTCGACCTCTGGTTGTAATGATCATTGTGGAATTAAAACTGCAGACAGACAAACAAACAACCCCAACCCCACTTTTTTTTTTCTTTTATTTCTTTTTATTTTTCTTTTTTTTTTTATTTTGTAATCTGTGTTGTAAGTGCTTTTGTAAAAAATAAAAAATAAAAATAATAATAATAATGTAATGGACTTTCATGATTTTGGTTTGGGGTTTTTTCTGGTTTTTTTTTTTTTTGTTTTCTTTTTTGAGGATTTTTTTGTTTTGTTTTGTTTTGTTTTTTGTTTTGCTTTGTTTTGTTTTGATTTCCATCCTTTGTAATTTGTTCATTTTGAGTCCTGGGTTGGGGGGGGGGAGGTATTTTCATGGTTATAATTTGTGTGGGTGGGGTGTTGCATCACCCTTCCTTTTACTTGTATAAAAAACCAATAGTGGCTGAGCTGTGGAAAAAAAAAAATGTACTTTTTTATAAATAAAGAATTTTAAAAAAAGAGACCTTCTCCTTCTTTTTGGGGCATCTGTGGCTGCGTCGTTTTGCACTCAGTGAGGAGAATTACATAGCACCTGTTTGGCAATGGTTTGGGTTGGAAATATCCCAGGATATGCAGTGTTTTTTTGGAATTTCCAATTATTTGTGTTTTGGAAGGGGAGTTGCTTGCAGGTGAAGGCTGAAGGTTTAGGGTTCAGAGATCTCCAGCAATGGGCTGGAGAAGGTGACTGGGAATGACTGGGTTTGCCACTGGCATGCTGGTTTTGTGTGGAATTCCTGGACAGCAGATCCAGTGCAGGCTAAACAAGGCTGGGAGAGCTTCCCTTTGTTGATGTAAACAGTGAAATTCCTTGGCTGAGGCCCAAAGTTAACCTGAGCTTAAAAATAAACGGCTGGAAAAACACAAGGCAGAAAAATCCATCGAAAAATCTGTGAAAATTTAGGACAAGTGTCTGTGGCTGAGGAAGTTCTCACTGCTGGCTGCAGCAGATGGGACAGGCTATTGGGAAAATGTCAATATTTCCCTAGAATGTGGCAGGGCCCGGATGCAGAGACACGGGAGGATGTTTTATAGAGCCACACGTGCCTGCCTTGGCAATGGGGCTTCAAAACCCTCTGCAGGCTCAGGGTGAGCTCAGGGTGAGCTCAGGGCATATTGATACCTTGAGAAGGGTGACCTAGAACAGAGACTAGATGGAGCTAAAGAATAAAGCAGGGATTTATTAAGAAGCCTCAATGGATCCACCTTGGGCAGCACAACCCAGAATGGTCCCAAAATGGACATGAGGTCATGGGGTCTCTCCCTGGGATCAGCTCTGCTCCATGTGCACATTGCAGTTCAGTGTCCAATTCCAGCTCAGCCCCTGCACTCCCATCCTGCTTGTTTTTCTCTCTCAGCCCACGGGCTTTGTGCAGAAACATGCTGGGGTGGGAGTGCCAGCAGCGCCTGCTGGAGTAAAAAGTGTCTTGGATCCCTTGGATGTGCAGGAGAGCCCTGCTGGCCCCAAAAGGGGCTGCAGAGCCTTGAGGAGCAGCCCAGGGCAGGAGCTGCACCAGGGCAGGAGGGGATTTGTGGCTGTGGTGTGCACAGTGCTGAGCGTGGTGGGTTCCCCTCCCTGCTGACAGCACCTGGAATTCGGGGCTGGAATGTCCCTGGTGGAGGTGCAGAGCCAGGTTCCCCTCCTGTGCATTCCCTCACCATTCCTGGCCACCCTGGCGGTTTATTTCTGCCCAAATAAAGGAGCTGGAGTAGGATTTGTGGTGAGATGCAGCTCAGGGTGATCAGGGAATTTCCAGGGAACCTGCCTGATATCCCTGGAACAGCACCTGGGATGGACACCTTGCACAAAACCCAAAACCAGGGGGACCTCCCAGGATCCACAGAGTCAGAGCTGGAAGTGCAGGAGCCAAAGGGCTCCAGCAGAAAGGGGAGGTGGGGACTGGGAGATGTTAAACCTGTGAGGGGGCACTGGAAACAGGCCAGGTCGCTGCAATCTGTGACCTTCAATCCCAAATTCCTTGTGAGGTGAGAGGCAAGCCCTGCTGCAGTTCAGCTCAGAGCACTCAAGGTCACACAGAGCCCATTAAATCTCCTCCAGCCACTGCTGGGTAAATGGAACCAGGAGAAACTCACGGCACAGGCTGAATTACTTGTAGCAGCAAATATGTTTGATTAGGGTTGGGTTTGTTTTTTGATTTTTTTTTTTTTCACTTTCAAATTATTTGCAATCTCCAGTTTGATTTGTATGAACATATTTGTTGGAGGAAATTGCTTTATGCAAATGGATTCCAGCTGAGGGACCTGTGACACCAGAAGTGCTGTTGAGCCTCAGATGCCCTCAGTGGTGCCTGGCAGAAGCAGAGGGGGGCTGGTTCTCTCCTCCTCCAAACAAGGCATTTCACAGCCTTCCCAGACGTGTTTAGATGCAGCCTGGATTTAGAGAGTATTTGCAGAACAAGGCTCAGCCTGTTTAAAAAAAAAAAAAAAATTAAAAAAAAAAAAATGGATGCGTGTTGCACTGCTGGAATTTCACATCCTGGCGAGCAGAAATCAGACAGCCAGGCTGATATTTTCACCTGAAATGTAGGGTAAAAATGTTGTGTCACCCTCCAGGGGCTGAATTATTGAAAGGCAGTGATTTATGGATACCTGCCATCCGAGCTGCTCCCTTCACCTCGGCAGCTGAGGTGAATGTGGCCTCATCTGACTAAGCCAGGCTCAAGGTGAGCTAAGGATGCTCCCTCCTCCACAGATTTCACAACTGCTGGACCAAACCCAGGTCCTGGTAGGAAGCAGGCAGAGGGCTTTGTCTGAATAGTTGGGTATTCTGGGAGGAGAACGGTTTGAATGTGAACAGTAAATGATCTTTTTCTGCCTGTGTGCAGAAGACACTGTCCTGTGGTTTGCTGGGGAGCTCAGCACTGGCAAAATAAATCCCAGGAGGTGATTAGGGATCAAATCCTAAGGGAGCTGTGAGAGGAGGGGGGGGTTCTGATTTTTGTGGTTTTCAAGTCCTTTTCCAGCCCCAGGTGCACCTTCCCTCCCTCCACCCACCCTGAGCCACCACTCACCCCACGGAGGGAGGGTGTGGGAATGTTCCCACCTCTCCCTCATCCTCCTGAACACCCCAAACTCCTGCCAGCCTGTTTTCCTCAGGGCTTGGAAAAGAAATTTGCCAGCTTCACACCTGTCAGGTTTAACTGATTGCCCGTGGAGGGAGGGGAGGAGGGAGGGGAAGAGGGAGGGAGTCCATCCGTATGGCTCTGCTCACCGGGGGAAACAAATTCCTCCATTCCCCGAGGAATAAACGCTTCATTTCCAGCCTCACCCCGCTGCTGCAGCTCCCAGCCCTTCCAGTGTCACCAGAACAATGCACAGTGGCTTTCTGCTGGCACACAGATCTGTCCACCCGGGGAGCTGATCCCAGCCCGAGGTGCTCGTCCCGAGGTCCATAATCCCCCCAGTGTGCCCAGTCCAGCTGCTGCCAGCTGTGCTCTGAATGCTGCAGCTGTCTGGGGTTATGAATGGAGCGGGAATGGGCTGGGAATGCCAAGCTGGAGTAAACACTGCCCAGCAATGATGGCATGGGGGGCTTTGCAATGGGGAGGAATCGTAATTAAAGAGAAATTAGTTATTTAAATGGTCACTTCCTGGGGTTTCGTTGACGTCCGATTAACTGAACTTTTAATTTGCATAAGCAATAAATGTTTAATTATGTTATTAATATATTTGAGTTGAGGAGCTTATGGGGTTTTATAATTGGCATTTAACTAGATAGTTCCAGCATATTAACTGATGTTTTATAGCTCTGTGTGAGCTTCTCCAATTATAACTGACCTAAAAATTTGCTTGGAGGACCTGCCTTGAAAGTGTTACCTGAGCAACAGAATGGGGGGAGGAGAGGAGGAGGCTGCTGGAGCCTGTCCCCAAAAGGAGGGATGTGCACAGGCAGCTCTGCACCCTCCACAGAGGCTCTGGGAGCCCTGTCCCTTCCCCAGGATGTCCTTTCCTCAAGGCCCTGTGTCACTGAGGGGTCACCTCCCCTCTCCTGGCGTCCAGCTGAGCCCAGAGGCTGGCACCCAGCAGGGGATTGGGGTGGGACAGGGAGATTTGGAGGTGGGGAGGGCTTGTCCTGGGTGAGGGGGTGACCTTGTGACTGACCAGCTCTGGCAGCCTCTGTGTTCAACTCCCAAATCCTGTCAGTCATTCTAAATCTATTTTCCATCCTGTCTCTACATTTGTTTTGATGACATGACTGGTTTAGTAAGAAAAAAAATGACATTGTGTTTGACTGACAAGGCCCATTTCCCATGACCCTCACAGACTGGCATTGATTATATTCCTGCCTTTTAATTCTTTATTACCTGGAGCCTGTGTTTGCTTTTCCTGTGGTGCCAGGAAACCACCCTGCAGGATTCGAGTCATTCTCTGTGCCCTCCTCCATTCTGCTGGAATTTAACCTTCTCAAATTTAACTATTCTAACAAATTGTAAAAATCCAACAGCAGTGACTTAGGAATCTCCTCAGCTGAGTCTTCCAACCCCTCTGTTTGCTTATAATAAGTGGAGTATCCAAGGAGATGCTGTCCAGCAAGCTCCTCAGCTTTGCCACCCTCAAACACAGGGAAATTGTTTTGTCATCTCAGAAGCCACAAACAAAAGCGTGCCAGTCTCTGGAGACAGACCATGAGCATCTTTTCAAATCTTGTGCCTTTTCTGGGTCATTTCAGCCCTCTTGGCCACATCCACCTGCTGCAGTGCCTGTGGAACAGTGCAGGGCTGTTCTTCAGTCCCGTTGTGTCCCCAGGGTAAGCCTGGCTTTTGTACCCATGGCCTTCAGCTCTCTGTGCTGCTCACTGGTTGCTCCCTTTCCTGCTTTTCCATTTGCTCCATGCTGGAGAAGGGGGAAGCTCCCTGTGTCCAAGCTGAGAAACTCCCTGCTCAATGAGGCTGCACGGCTAATTATTGCTTTTGTCATTTGGGAAGCTAGGTGAGGGGGGAAGGTGTGTGAGGAGCCTTTCAGTGCCATTAACAGGAGGGAGAAATCAGGAAGAGGGTCGGGAAGGTGAAGCCTGAGTTGTTTCCTGCACCTCTCCTGGAGCAGGACTGGGTGGGGACAGCTGGGGACACCAGGACAGGGACGGTGACAGTCCTGGAAGGCGTGTGAGGGGCAGGAGGGGAGGCAGCAGCACCAGAGCCACAGGAGCATCCAGCAGCTCCATCCTCACACATCTGGCAGCTCCCTCCCTGCTCCAGGAGGCTGGGGAGTCACTTTCTGGTCCGGGTTGCTGCAGCTCTCAGGGTTTTTGGGAGAGGAAGAAGAAAAGGGGTGTGAGGAGCAGCCTGGAGCCCTCCCTGCTGCTGCAGCTGCCCGGGCACAGCAGAGCAATGTCCCCCTTTCCCTGTCCATACACTTCTGGCCAGGTGACAGGGGAGCAGAGCAGCTCCTGCTCACCCTGCTGGGCATCCCCTGGGTCCGGATGCAAACGGGAGGTGAGCTCATCCTTTGGAGACATCCAGGACACAGCTGCCCGCTGCTGTAAACACCCCCACGGCAACAGGAGACAAACACAGCCCGGGGCACACGGCCAGGCAGAGTGAGACGCTCCCAGGAGTGCTGCTGGGGATCGTTGAGCAAATTAACTCTATTAACACAAATGATGAGAGCCGGAGCTGCAGTTCCTGTGCCTTCTATCTGACAGAATTCATCTGGTGGCTGCTTGTAATAGCGTGACCTTAATGGACTCATCAAGGGAGCAGGGCTGTGTCTCTGCCTGAACATGGGTTTGGGAGCACGCTGTGCTCTGGGCAGGCTGCTGAGAGCAGGACAGGAACATTCTGGTGTAATGGGCTGCAGGATCCAGCCCCTCCATCCCTCCAGGAGAGGCAATTTCAAGTGTCATCACCTCCTCGAAACTGTGCGGCAGAAGAAATAAATTACTAAAGGGATTTGATTGTTCATTACTCTGCCAAGCTGCAAGGAAATGAAGCAGAACTAAAATTAAGGGCTGCGAGGCAGAGGAAATGCCAAGGAACATTTCCCTTCTTCTCCAGGGCTCATCTCCTTCCCCAAAACAGGCTGGGGTGCTCCCCATCCTGCACGTCCTGGGTGTGGGATGCAGGGAGTCTGTGGGGCTGGCAGGGAGAGAGGGCAGGTGAGTTTGGGGTGGATTAGTGGCAGCAAGGTCGTGTTTGCCCCCTCTTTGCTGGAGAAAAAACCAGCCCAGGAAGAGGAATCTGTGGTGGAGTTCCCACCAGAGTTCTGCAGCATCCTCATCCCTGCAGGATCCCAGGGGTTAACAGCCCGCTCCCACTGCTGCATCCAAACCCCGTCCTTGTCAGTGGCCACTGGCAGCGTAAAAAGGGAGGTCACCAAGGGCTAGGGCCACATTCCAGACATGTTTTTGCGGCCAGCAGCTCTTTAACCAGATGTTATTTAACCAAGGATGGTGTTTCCTGCAGGGGAAAGGAGCAAAGGGACAAACTGGTCATTACTGGAGAGAGCCTTGCATGGCAAAGCCATTCCCTGCTGGAATGTGTGTGAAATCCCCAGGAAAGCCAAGCACATCCCAGTGTCCACTTCAAAGCAGGCACCCCAGGGAGGGCTGGATCCACACACTGCACTTGCAGGCTCTCCCAAAACCTCATCAGAGGCTGGGGAGAGGCTTGAAAAGCCTCAAAGTGCCAGTTGGGCTGGCAAAAATGCCAGAGGGAAGGAAAGTGGTCAGGGATCTTGAAGGGATGCTGTGATCAGTACCCAGACAGGGGGATGGCCGTGCTGGGAACGAGCTGAGCACCCCGGGAATACCCAGATTTCTGGGATTCAGTGGAGGGAAATTAGAGAGGGGACAGAGGGATTCCCACTTGTGGCAGGGAGAAAAAGGACCATGCAGAGGGGTGGGGGCATTTGTTTGTCTAACCACCCTTGGGGAGTGGTTTTGCCCCCATCACACACACAGTAAAAGCAGGACACTCCCAGCACCCCTCTGCAGGGACCAGCAGCGCCGTGTGGGAGGTGAGCAGCACATTTTGGGGGCCCAGCTTGTGCAGAGGGGGATTTCCAGGGAAATGAGGCACTGTCAGGATCGCAGCCATGCCTTGGCACTCGCCTGTGTGGTGGCTGATTGTGTAAGTGAGAGTTACATCAACAAACACCCCGATGGGAGAGGCTGTGACGGCTCTGAAAATTCCATCTGACTTATATCAGGGCATGGAGGCAGAAGAACAGCTCTGCCTTCATTTTGGCGTTTAACCTTTAGCTGGCTGTGCTACAAAATGTGGAATAGGTCAAGATTATCTCGAGTCAGGATGTTCCCTGCCGTCAGATCTTTGTAGGCTTTCAATCCTAATCAGGAAGAAAGGAGACCTAATCAGGGGAGCAGGCAGCATCCCTCAGCCAAGGACATCCTGGAACTAACAAGTTTTAAGGATGGGGTAAATGAAGATGTTGTCTATCAGTGGAACAGACAGCAGATCTTACTCCAGGACCTCCTGGAACCAACAAGCCTTAAGGATGTGTTAAATCAAGACGTTGATGGATGTCTGTGTGGCAAAACATTCAAGGTCCATGCATCCTGTAGCTGAGCTATCTTCATTATAACATTGAAAATCACATCACAGGTGAAAACTCTTCCCCTGAGCATGTGTAGAAGTTTGCTGGGGTTACATAACTGGCATGGGAATTACTAACATGGTGCTCTTGTCTCCAAGTGAAGCCAGACACTCTTCCTGCTCAGAACAGCCTTTCCTAACCAAACCACCCCTGTTCCCTGAGCTGTGGTCCAGCTGCTCCTCTTCCTCTCCCTGCATGAGCAGCCCTTGGTGACACAGCTGGGTCTGGATCCTGCCGGGGGTTAAGTGGTGCTGCAAACCATGAACTGACGTGGAACGTGGGTTTGTGTTTGCACAGGACAGAATTTCACTGTGAAGTGCAGCCTGGTCACCTCCGCCTGCAGTGAGGGAAGGGTCTGAGCTGGAGCAGGGTCTGAGGGGGCCTAGGTGGGAGCAGAGTGAGCTGCTGCATTCCCCTTCTCCTCTCCCCTTCAAACCAGGATCAGAGCAAGGGCTGTGAAGGGTTTGGACCCAGGGCATGAAGGGCTGAAGCACTTCAACCCCAAACACTCATGGTCCAGTGCTGCTGGTGCAGCTTTCCCAGCAGTTTCTTGCTCTCCTGAATCCCTTTCATCCTCTGGGTGCCTGGCTGTCCCTGGAAGGGATTCACTGAATGCACAGAGCCCAGAGAAACCCTCCCCACTCTCCTCCCTCAGACTTCAGATCCCTTTAAAACCCCCAGTGCCTTGCAAGCCCCGCTGTTTATCCTCCCCTTTGCCCTGTCAGCTCCTGGGAACAGCTTTCCATTAACCCTTTGCAAACAAAAGGCATCACAACAAGGCTGGGAACCAGCTTGTGCCTGGGGGTGTGTGTTCTACTGGAGCGTGTCTCAAATTAGCCAATCCTGCTCCTGCCTCCAGAACCAAGCCAGGGAAGTGTTTGTTCTGCCAAGCTTTTCAACTCGGTTTAATTTAGCTCTGTGAACTTGTCTCAGGCTCCCTGGAATGTGTCAGGTGGGGTGTATTATAAATATGCAACATCTGAGCTCATTGTCTTGCTCAAAGGGCCAGCAGGCAGAAGGAGTCCAGCAAATCTCTCCTTGCACCAGGTCACGGTGACAATCCAGGCTGGGGACAGGCTTGGTTTGGGCTGGCATGGGCTGGGCACAGGGTAAATGCTGTGAAAAGGCTGCATGGAGCCCTGAGGTTGCATTAAATCCAGCAAGGCTGGCTGCTGCAGGAGCTCCAGAGCTGCCAGCACAAAGGAGAAGGATCCCAATCCCTTCCCAAGGCTGTGAGCACGGCTGAGCCCCTGGGCCAGCCAGCCATGAAATAGAGGGGGATTTGCTCACTGTGGGGAGGTGATAAATGGAAAGGGAACCCTGCTTTGGAACTGGTTATGGGTGCAGAGGGTTTAGCAGAGATGTTGTGTGTTGTTGTGGTGGTTTGCTGGGAAGGAAAGAGGGATCAGGCTGGATTTAGGAGGGGGCAGAGAGGAGAAGGGTGTGCAGCTCTCTTGGAGCAAATTAGTTCCACTCAGAGCTGCTGTAAACCAGCCCTGAGACTGGCCCAGCTTCCAGATTCACCTGGGGGTGCAGCCAGTGCCTCAGCAATGAGATGGGGCTCAGGCTCTCCTTGGGGCAGCTGAACTCAGGGAGACAGTCAGAACAGGGGAAAAAAAAAACCAAAACAGGGTGAGACCCAGTCATCACCCCCAGGTGAAACCTTCCTGCCTGCCCAGACCCCACCCACAGCTCTGCTCCTCCCAGTGCATGGCTAACGGGACACACATCCATGTGTGGAGCAGGGCTAGAGGGACACACAGACATGGCTAACAGGAGGGACACACAGCCATGGCTAACAGGAGGGACACACATCCATGGCCTGAGGGACACACGTCCATGGCTAACAGGAGGGACACACATCCATGGCTAGCAGGACACACAGCCATGGCTAATGGGACACACAGCCATGGCTAGAGGGACACACATCCATGGCTAGAGGCACACACATCCATGGCTAACGGGACACACAGCCATGGCTGGACGGACACACATCCATGGCTAGCAGGAGGCACACACATCCATGCTAACAGGAAAGACACACAGCCATGGCTAGAGGGACACACATCCATGGCTAGAGGGACACACATCCATGGCTAGAGGGACACACAGCCATGACTAGAGAGGGACACACATCCATGGCTAGCAGGACACACATCCATGGCTAATGGGACACACAGCCATGGCTAGCAGGACACACATCCATGGCTAGAGGGACACACATCCATGGCTAGCAGGAAGGACACACATCCATGGCTAGCAGGACACAAATCCATGGCTAGAGGGACACACAGCCATGGCTAGAGGCACACACATCCATGGCTAACAGGACACACATCCATGGCTAGAGGGACACACATCCATGGCTAACAGGACACACATCCATGGCTAGAGGCACACACATCCATGGCTAGCAGGACACGCATCCACGGCTAGCGGCATTCCTCCTTCGCTGGGAGCAGCTGTCAGCGTTTGGAGTGTGCTTTGGCTGGCTCTGGGGCTGGGCAGTTGGCTATCAGCAGCTCAGGATGGTGTCATTGCCTGGCTGGCACAAAGACCCTCCTCTGCTGGCGGCTGCTCTCGGGAAGCACGCACGCGCCCTGCGCGGGCTGGGAACGATGCTTTACGGAGAGATAACCATTCCCTCCCTTCCCTGGGTCTGCCTCCGACTCCACAAGAGCCGTGGGAGAACAAAGTAATGAACAAAACAGCTCTGAAAGAGACTGGGGGTGGGACGCCCTTCTTTTCTCCCTAATTGTAATACTGTGAATTAATTCAGCTTGCAGCAGGAATGAGGAGTTTCCCAGCAGCCCTCAGACATCCAGATAAGGCTGAGCTGTTTGTTGAGCCCCTCTGGGTTCTCTGGTACCTGCCTCACTGCCAACTGCTTCACACAAACTTTGTATTCTTTTTTTTTTTCCTTTTTTTTTTTAATTTTGTTCTTTTTTTGGAGAGTTTTAAATTGTTCAAGCGTGACAGAGCACGGGGGTTTGCATTCTTAATTGGCAAAGCCTTTTCCCACTCCTGTCTGGAGGCCCCTGAGCTGTCCTGCCAATTTATTCTGATCCTGATTCACAAACCTTGCAAACATCTTCCCAAGGCTGCCCAAAAGCCCTGTCAGTGGAACTGAATCCTCATCTGGCACTTCTGGGCATCTCCTGAAGCTTTTCTGGTGTTCTCCTCTTGACTTGAGATGTCCCTTTTTGCAGCCACACTCCCCTACAGAAAAGCCCTGGTGGGCCCTCCAAACTGTACCAACCACAACTCTTCCCCAGGGGGAAATAAACAGTGGATAGAGATGAAAAAGGTTTAAATGGGGAAAGAAAAAAAAAAATAAGTAAGAGGGAAGAGGAAGTGTAAATGAAGGTTTCTCTCTAATTCTCATTTTCCTCTATCCTGGGCACTTTCCTGCTCTCTCGGGACCTTCTTTTCTCATTTATCTTCCTCACCTCCTGGGGTTTCCTGTTCTTGCCAGCAATTAGCACTGCCACCTCTGCCATCTCCCTGCCTGGACCCCTGCAAAGCCGTGACCAGCACTTTGGAGTGGCTCAGATTGTCCCCAGCAAAAAGAGCTGCACGTGTAGGGGCAGGCTTTGTTGCCACAGGGCTGTGCCATGTTTTGGTGCTTGTCCCTGCAAGGCCACACAGCCCTGGGATGGGCTCTGACCCCGGGATGTTCATACAGAGAGCCTAGGAAGGAAGAGGGACTCTCATAAAAAACCCAAATATTTGCAATTCTCCTTGTGCTCCTTCATTCTTTCACTCCCCTGCTCCCCTTACTGCCCTGTATTCACCTCTCCCTCTTCTGCTGTATTTTCGTCCCCCTCAAAATTTTCTCAGCCCCTTCCTGCTGTCACCCAGTCTCACCTGAGCTCCTGGAGATCCATTTGATTTATTTCTTTCCTTTCCCTCTTTCTCCTTCCACCCTTTTTCTCCCCACCCCACACTCCTGATTTACGGCAGCAGCAGGAGGCTGATGTTCTCTGCTCGTTCCCTGCTCGGTCCCTGCCATCCCGAGAGCCATCAGGGGCTAATTCATCACGGGAATGCCCCAGCCAAAGTGACTGGGACATTCTTTACAGCCACAACCCCGAGTGCTGGCCTGGGGGGGCTGTCAGCTGTGAGAGAGCTGTCTGGAGGCACAAATATTATTTACAAGGTGTTGTGGCTTATGGAGGAGGGAAGAGGAGGAAAAGTGGCTGCCACCGCAGGTTCTGATGACTTCAGCATCCTGCCACCAAAGACAGAGCTCAGAGCTCTTCATTAAGGAGCAGGGGAGGGCAGGGGGAGGGTGGGATGCTGACCCACGGAGTGTCAAAGTTTGGCAGGAGAAAAGCATGATTTTGTGGGAAGGGGAATGGGGCATCGGTGTCCGAGCAATTCCCAGGGTGAATTCCCAGCGTGGGGCTGGGAGCTCGAGTGCTTTGTGCAGTTTGGGATGGAGCAGAGGAAGGGGGGGTTCCCAGGGAGATGTTTGCACACCTCAGTTCACTCCTGGATGACAGCAGCAAATCTGAGAGCTGGGGAAGGCTGGCTGGGAGGGGAGATCTGGGAATACTCTCTTGGGAATGATCCAGCCCAGCCCTTTTGAGACTGCACCTGGCACAAGGGGTTTCAGGATGAGCAAGTGCTGGATCCATGGAGATGAAGTGGGAGTAAAAAGCAGGTTTTTCACCCTGAAAAGTCCTGGATTTGTCGTCCTGTGTGGTTTGGGAATGTGTGCAGATGTTTTATAGCCACATACATTTTGTTTTACTACTTTGCACATGGAAAGTGTGCCCAATTCTGAGGCCTTGGGGATGGGTAGTTTAGGGGAGATTTTGGTACCCAAAGCCAAAATTGTTGCAGAACAAGATCCATTAGCCCAATCTGGTCTCTAAGAGCAGTCAATAGCCAGGGCATTAAGAAAAGTACAAAAATTAGATGTGACAGACAAGTCCTGCAAAGCCCCTTGTTCCCTCATCCCTGTCTTGCTCCCCTCCCCTAAATATCTTTTCTTCCTCCTCCTCCTCCTCCTTCTTCCTCCATCCCAATTATCTCCTCCTTTCATCACTGCCTGAGTTGTAAGTACAAAGTACCAATTAGCTAGTTTTCAAGTTTAATTAGGTTGGAAGGTAGAGCAAATTAAATCCTTTTATCGCAGGTTTCAAAGCGCTTTCCCATCGGGATGGGTTTCCTTTGGATGAGGCCCGTGTTTGTCACCAAGGAGCTGGCCCAGGTCACAGAGCAGGGGATGAAATGCAAGATTGGGTCTGTCTCCCTCCTGCCCCTAAATCCTGCACTCAGGACATCTTTTTTTGGAATAATTTGGGGTGCACAAACCTCTGCTCCACCCCAATCTACTGAGCATTGCTCCTTAGCTCGTTTTGAGAACATTCCAGCAGCACCAGGAATTCAGTGAGGATACTGGGACAAAGCCCAGCAGAAGGCTTTCAAAATACTTCAACAGTATCCAGCAGCAGGTCCACATGAATGCTTGGAAGCACCTTTATTCCCTAAACCCTTCTTCCTTTGAGGCCTGAACAAAGGCAGGGAAGCGGATCCAGGAATAAACACCTGAAGATGAAACTGCAGAGCGGAGTGAGGAAGTGTTTAACTCTTGGAGACACAATTGTAGCCACAATTTCTGTTCCTCTTGAGCTCTGAGCTGTGCATTTCGATAGGATCTGGCTCCCTCCATGGAGCTGCTGGACAGGGACACTCGGGAAAACTTCGGGATTCACCCTCACCTTTGCTCCCGGAATCCCTGCTGGTGCCAGCGCCACCCCAGCTGCATTTTTGGTGTTCTAACCCCGTCCCCTGTGCTTTCCTGTGTGTTGCAGACAAGCCACTACCTCAGAGTGCCCCGGGAGGCATCGTCGGGATCGTGGGAGGCGTCATCGCCGCCGTCTTCATCATCGGCGTGGCCGTCACCGTCATCATCGTCTACCGGCGGCAGCAGAAGAGCCGCTCGGACACTGACAACGACCTGTGAGTAGCACAGCCACTGCCCGCCCGGGGTGCAGCTGCTGTGGGCACGGGGGACAGCCCCTCTGGCCCTTCCTCTGCCTGCACAACGGGAAAACTTGGTGGGAAAATGGTTTCCTGCTGTTTCTGTCTCGTTCCTCCGATCGGCTTCCCTTCCTTGGGGCTTCCTGGTGCTTCCCGTCCTGCTCTCTCCTGTTCCTGAGGTCTTGGCACGAGCCTGAAGTGGGAGCTGGAGCACAGGGATGCTCCACCAGGTGCTGGGGTTGCTGTGGCATGTCCTTGGGGCAGAGGCTCGGTGCCACTGTCCCCCACTGTGGATCCTATTCCTCCTTTCCCAATGGCTTCAGGCTCCTGAATGAGACTGAATCCCATCCTGCCATCAGAGAGGGGTTTCTGATAGACCCTGAGCACCTCTGAATGCATCCCAAAGTGTCTGGAAAGGGTTCACATCCACCAGCATTGCACGTTTGGACCTGTGGGTGACATTAACTCTGTCAACAGCAGGGACAGAGGCCACCACAGGGGCTCCTCTTTGGAGCTGGGCTTTGCTGTGCCCAGCACAGGGCAGCAGAGATCCCAGGCGGGGAATTGAGTGGTGTGGAGGTCGCTTTGTGCAGCAGGAACCTCTCCAGGAGCATTTAGCCTGGGCTCTGCTGAACAGCTCTATCTTGTCACCAGCTCTTCACCCCCTCCCTCTGTTCCCACCTCGCAGGGGAGGCACGGAAAGCCCAGCACCCAGAGGTTGCTTTTATGTTCCCCCAGCCTCCACCTCATTGTTGTTACACCTTGGGCACATTTTGTGCTCCATTTAATCCCATTTGAGAGAGGGCACTGGAGGATAGCAGGAGAGGCAGGGGAGAGGAGCGGGGGAAGCGGCAGGAGAGGCAGAAAGGCACACAAACAACAAAACCCAGCTCCACAAGGTGAAATTGCATCAACAGCAGCGGGCCTGTGATCGAGATGCATTCTGACAATCCACTTCCCACAATGGCCCTCCACCAGGCTCAGGGAAGAGCCACTTTAGCTGAGAATAGAAACACAGCCCTGCCCAGCCCTGCCGAGGTGCTGCCTCTATTGTGGAGGCTGATCCCGAAGGTAATAGCATTTCTTTTCTGTAGAGCCATGAAGTCAATGTTTTACAGAGCCCCGGGGACCTGCTCTGCCCTCCCTGCCACCAGCACATTCCAGTCCCACGCTGGAATCCAAGGGAAGGCGCCCATCTCCATCAGATCTGTGGAGTCTGCACGGAGAGAAGGGAGGGGGGCAGCCAGCTAATTAGTGGATCGGAGTTTTAATAAGTTTTGTAAAAGGATTAGACACATCTGTGCATGTGAACAGAATGTGCAGAGACAGTCTCTAGGCTGGGATTATCGTGGCTGCCAATCCCTGTGCTCTGGGGTAGGAGCTGATCCTTGGCGAGGGTCAGGGATAAATGTCCCTGCCTGGCAGAGCATGTCCATGAGGAGGATTCAAACTCCTCCTGGGAAGCCCTGGCAGGGCTGCCATCCCAGAGAAATGCCAGGCTGGGGCTGGCATTACCTCGTTATCACTTTCTGGTACCTCACAGCCACGACACAAACACCTCCCTCCCAAGGGATGGTTTGCAGGTATCCCAGCTGCACCCTCGGGATCTGCACCTGACACTGGGATTTGCCTGGAATAAGGACAGAATGCTAGGAGGGAGTTTATTTCCATTAACAATTCTAATTGGGGTGAGACAAAGGGCACGGGGGAGTTCCTGAGGATAATCTGTGTGATTGTATTGGCAGTTTGGTGACAAACACAATCAAATCCTTGGGCACATCAAAGCAGCAGAACCTTTCCTCCTGCTTTCTACTCAGCAGCCTCTTCTTTCCCTGCAGGATTGACCTCCCTCCATCCCACAAACCTGCCCCTCCACCAAAGAGGAAACAGGACATGAAAAGCCACCTGACTCCAGAAGACATCCAGGTAAAAACCTGCAAATTCCTGCCTCTGGCACAGAAAACTGATCTCAAGCAGGGTCCACAGTGCCTGGATTTTGGGAAATTGGTGTTGCAAGAGCAAAGAAATTCCTGGATTGAGTCTGAGGGGCAGAAAGTGAGGATTTTTCAAGACCAGGTTGGATGGGGCTCTGAGAAATTTGGTCTAGTGGAAGGTTTGAACTAAAATATCTTTAAGGTCCCTTCCAACACAAACTGTTATATAACTCTATGATTCTGTGACTCTGTGACCTGTCCCCCAGCATTCCCAGTCTAGCATTAATTAAAAGCTGTAATTTGGGTTCTGCTCTGCCCCTTTGGTGGATATTGAAGCCTGAAGGAGTTGGTGTTTGGTTGAGGTGCCACCTGAAGCAAAGCTTGCCAGAGGATAACCCTTCTCTTCTCATCCCTCTTCTGTCCCCTCTGCTCCAGGTTGTTCACTTGGACAACATGAAACACGAGGAGGAGATCCAGAAGTTCCCTCTGCAGACTCCCTACTATGACATGGCAGCCCCCGAGCCCTCTCCCTACAGCGACAAACTGGTAAGGAGCACAGGGTGACAGTGGCACTGCCTGGCACCTCAGCCCAGCCTCACCTGGCACCCAGGACCCTAAAAAAGCAGGATCCCCATCATCCACAGCCCGGGATTATCCCCTCCTGGAGGAAAACAGCCTCCAGACTGTGATCTCAGCTCACCCTAATTCAGCTGTCTGTAGGTCCCAGAGCCTTTATGGGTAAAATGCCTTGCCCACCCCAAATTCTGTATCTGCAACCCATCCATCCCCCTTGGGCACTCCTCAGCTCCTGCAAGGAGCCCCTGCTAGGGTTTGCAGCTGAGGGAAGCAGCAGTGAGAGCTTCACAAAGCAATTTTCTGCAGGGCAGAGCGTGCCAGCGTTTGACTCTCACTTGACAACAACAAGTTATTTAAACCCTTTTTTTCTTTTCTTTTTTTTTTTTTTCTGGAGTGTGGATTTGTTCAGCCTCAGATGGGGAGATGTTAATGTGAGGCAGCAGCAGCGGGGAGAGATTAAGGGTCAGGAGGAGATGCTGGCAGTCACATGGGAAAGGCTGGTTTGCAAGGAGTGAGGAAATGTTAGATGTGAAGGTGTAGCGGACAGGAAGCAGGTAAGATTAGAGTGAGTTTTTGATGAGAAAACAGAAAACCATCCCCCTCTCAGGCCTTGGACAGCATCCTTTCCCTCCCTCACCCCCTGGCATGGGGATGCTCTGCCTTTTTATCCATAGCAGACAAGACATCCCAATGTAAATCCTTCAGGTCCCTCCCAGACTCCTCCTCACGAGCAGTTCAGAGCACTGCACACCCAGCCTGGTGCTGCAGCAGAGTGAACTCCCTGCCTGCAGAAAGGTGTAGAAATATCAGCCCAGACTGCAGTAATTTTTTATGAACACCACTAATTACAGCCCAGTTCATTCCAGTGTGACCCTGCCACGTGCAGATAATGGAAGGACAGGGCCCAGTGACCTTTAGCTGGCACAAGTCTGAAGCCAGGCAGATGCCAAGGGCGTTGGAAACCAAAAGCCACAGTTCTGATCCTATTTACTTCATCCCTAGAGGAAAACTTCCCCTTGGAGCCCTCCCTCAGTCCTGGGGCTGGTCCCCAGTTCTTTCTACTCCTTGCTGAGTTTTAAATGAAACACAGGACGTTGGAGCGAGACCACTGCTTGAAAAGCATCTGAAAGCTGAATTTCAGGCAAGCAGGAGGATGGAGGAGCTCATTTTGGGAAATAACGAGCAGTCAGTTAATTAAGTGGCAGAGTTAGTGATGTGAGATGGGGCCTGATGGGTTGCTGCTCCGTAACCATGGCAACAGAGTTTGCTGCTCTCAATCCTGGCCGGAGAAGATGCATTTCCATGTCCCGCGCCTGGCACCGGCTGCTCCTCACCCGCGGATGCAGCCAGGAGGTGACGGACTGCGGAGCTCTCCTTCCACTTGGCCCACCAAGAACTGGCTCTGCAGCAAGTTCGGGGTGTCTGGGGGACTCTGGCTCTTGGCACAGGCCTGGCACAGCTGTGGCAGAGCCCTGTCCCTGGCACAGCATGCCTGGCAGTCCCTGGCAGCGGCGCCAGGCTCGCCCGGCACGTACCTGCGCCGTGCTCTGGCTCTCTGCCCCAGCAGCAGGATGCAGCCTGCTCCCATTCCCTGCTAAATGGCTGCATCCTTTGGGCAGGCAGCTGGCTGATGGAGTTTGGGGCTGGCAAGGGAGAGAAGGGTGTCCTTGGCTGCCAAGGAGCGCTGATTTTGCTGGATTCTTCCCAGATCTCACAGGCAGGACGTGCTGCCTCGGCCAGGACAGGGCTGGGTTGGGTTGTCCGGCCACGCTTTGCAAAGGGACAAGCTTTGCCTTCCTCCCTGCAGGGAAAAAAGTGACTTGCATCACTTTTTTTCGCCCTTAAAGCACTGCAGAAGCCTCCTTTTCATGTCACAGCGGGATTCTGAGGAGTGGGAAGCCCCAGGGATGGAGCAAGACCTGCCCAATCCTTCCCCTGAGGGCGGGCTCAGCTGGAGGATGAGGAGGGAAGCACATCCCTGGTCCCTGCCAGCCTCACTTTGGCACAGCCCTGCTCCCACCTGCTCAAGATGCAGATGCAGGAGGCTCTGGGGTATCCGTGCTTCTGGGATCCCTGAGAGGGAAAGGCACAGCAGAAAGGCAGGATATTCTTGTTTTGCCTGTACCTCATCTGCAGATTTGGCCTGGGAGGGGAGTGAAGAAGATGAGAGTGGAAGGGAGCGGATTCTGCAGGAAAATGGGGCGGGTGCATTCAGCTTTGAATGAATTGTGCAAAACCTCGTAATTTGGGATAAACCAGATTTATCACGAGGCGGCATGAAAGGCTCTGCCTGGGGTTGGCGATTTCACAGCGCTAGAATGGGAGTCAGGGAGTGATTAGAGATGGTAAACAGTGAGGGAGGGGGGAATGGGAGAAGTGCCAGGAGAAAATAAAAGAGGCAGGTGGAGGAGGAACCTCCAAGAGGGTGTGCAGGGCCGTGCGTGTGGACGTGTGCTGGCAGGGGACCAGGACACAGGGAGAGGCTGGGGCACGTCTGCAGGGTCAGGATACCTGCAGGAGGGAGCAGAGCTATGAATGAATCTGTGGTTTTAGGGTTGCAGGCTGTGGGAAAGCCAGCACAGCCCCAAAATGCCCAAGGACAGCGGTGCGGACACTTGAGGATGCAGGGGTGGGTGTAGGGGTGTGGGGGCTGCCTGAAGTGCTTTTCTCTGAGCACTTTTGGGGTGAAAGTGAGGGTACCAAAGCAGGAGAGTGTGTTTCAGGTGTGTGGGTGAAGGCAGGTGTGCTCTGCCAGTGCTTTTGTGCCAGGTGGGTGCTCCGTGCGTGTGTGAGAGGCAGCAGGAGCCAGAGAGAGGTGGAGGCACGAGCCAGTGCAGGAGCAGAGCTGTGATTAGTGTCCGTGTCAGCAGGGCCCATTTGCACAGGTAGAAGGGGAAGTTTCATTGCTGCAGACAGCAAAATAATTTCTCTGGGTTTGCAGGGCAATTACCGGGGTGCCGATGGTGATGATTTACACCCAGCGCTTGCGTGAGGCAGTGCTGGGCCTTGTATACAAGGCACATTATTGATATTGTAATAAATTCTGCTCCAAACAGGCAGCAAGGAGCAGGAGCGAGCCCAGGAGTGGGAGAAAGGAAGGGAAATCCATGGAGAAATCACCTCCTGTGGGAAGGAAGCAGGAGAGGAGTGAGGCAAAGTAGACAGGATAGGAACGAGGAGGTAAAACTTAGTCCAGCTTCCTCCAGGAGCAGGGGAGGTGCTGAGACACAAAATTCAGGGGGAAAGAGCTCTGCAAGGTCTAGATTTAGGTCTAAGGCTGGAGCTGGCATTGCTAATTTTCCTAAATGTCCAAACTCCGGGTCCAGACACGAAGCAGAGGCTCCACAGGATGCGCTGCTTTCATGCCAACAACTCGCCACTGCCATCTGGCCACCGAGGGCAGGACAGAGGTGACCTCCAGCCCTCTGCTCCTCCAGCCCCAGCCTTGCTGAGCACTGGAAATGCTGCTGCAGCCCCGGTGCCCCTCATTCCCCTCATCCCTGGGGCTGAGGGGCAGATCAGGGAGCCAAGCCCTGGCACAGGCCCGCGCAGCAGGCCGAGATAATCGCGGAGCGAACAACCCCTTCCAGCAACAGGCACTCAACCAGCTCATTACAGGGCTATAAACTTCTAAAAACGGCTCAGCCACAGCTGCTAGGTGGCTGAGGACACTTCCAAACAGAGAGGAGAGGAACACTTTCAAATTAAACACCTTTTGCACCACTGCCGTGTGGTGCAGCCATTTTGGAAAGGGGAGAGAGAGAGACTGGGAAGCTGCTTTGTTTGGAAGAGACACCTCTCTCCTCTCAGAGAGGCTCAGCAGATGCCTGGCTAATGCTGGCACTGAAAGCAGCCCCAAAAGTGAGGACTAAAGTAACTCCATGGGGCAAGGAGCCAGGATTCTCCTCACACCATGGCTGCCGGCACCAAGGCTTCTCCTGGTGATCCTTATTCCCCCCTGAGCCACAAGCTCTGGGCTATCCTGCCTTCCAGGCTTCTCCCATTATCATCTGCATGAAAGATGCCTGGGTAGGAACGATCCGACAAATTGGATAATATTCCATTCATGCAGTCCTTGCTGATAAGCCTGCTTAGTGAAGGAATACCCATAAATATTTCCATGCCAAAGGAGGATGCTTTTAGCATCTCTTAGACCATGTTACGATGACAAAATCGTGCTGCAGAGGTAATCTGCAGTGCCAAGCTGTGCAGCCAAGCCTCGTGTTAAACCAGGCTCTCCAGCACTCCACAGTTCCCACGTTGGGGCAGAACAACAGTGACATTCCCCTGTGGCCATGCCTTTGGGGTTTGGGCTTTAAAGCCATTCCTTCTGGGTATCTCCTTCCCAAAACCCCAAGTTTCAAACAAAGGATTTTCACTCGTGTTCCCCAAACCTGAGTTTGAAATGAATCCCAAACTCTTGGGTTAAAACAGCTCAGGTGCATTGTAAGGTTTGAACTCACTGACCCGGCCCCAGCTAAGGGAAGTGCTGGTCCCAGAGGGGTTCAGTGGAAGATCAGAGCAGTGAGATGCTGCTGGGAGCAGCCCCAGTGAAAGGGGCAGTGCCTGGGAGTGCTGCCAGCCAGGGCTGGGTCACTCAGCTCTGCTTTTGGGGGAGCAGCGCCTTTGGGACTTTTGCTTTGATTTGGGATTTTACCTGACTGATTATTTCATTACCTCCCTACCTCCTTCTTTTTAACTGTTTTTTCTTACTCCCCCCCTGTTTTCTTACTCCCCACCTCCCTCCTCACCCTTTTCTTCTTTCTTCCCCCTCCACCCCTCCGTGTCCCGTCTCACCCCTCACCATCTGCACGGACCCTCTGTCCTCACCCCGACTCCTCCCTCGTGTCCCCCCCACCGCCTTGCTGCTCTCTTCTCTCCAGAACCCTGGCAACAAGGACTGTGATGTCCAGTATGCAGAGCTGGACACGTCGGCTCTGGCCGCGTCACCCAGCCCTCGGAGCTCCATC